TCCAGGTATTAATATTTGCTCGTTTTCTTTTTCTTGATAAAGGTGATTTAATTGATAGATCCCATATTAAAAGAGAATTAGAAACAATTTCACCATAAAGTATATTAGTATTGTCATTACACATTATAATTATTGCTTCAAAAATAAGAATTAAAGAATCATACCTTGATAAGTATATAACTCCATGACTCGACACCCAAGTTTAATTTGTGGTATAATGCAAATGACAATACAATTCATCTAAAAAAACTTCTGATCAAGTTGAAACTTTATTTTTTCCTTGTAGGTTTTTGAATTGATATTGTAAATAATAGCTACGAAAAGTAACATTTGCTGGTGACTTATACAGAATATTTCTGTGTTCACCATATCCATAATAATATCCTAACATATGAAGTATACGAAGCAACTGTCACTTTGAATTTTGTAATCATTTTTTGCAAGTTTTTTTTGTAATATATGTGTTGAAAGTGGAATATCGAAAGTATTGATAAATATAATAGAACTTCAAATAAGTTCAAGAATATTATAATCAAGGTAATTTTTTGGCCAGTTCAATTTTTTCAAGCTGGAATTTCTTTATTTATTTTTTATTTTGTTCAGCAACCACCCGCCCTACCATGACCTCTCCAATATCAAGGACTGTAGCAATCTGCTTGTGTAGTATAAGAGTTTGACGTTTGTTCTGGCATTGTCGAATATCAAAAAAATATTGATGGGTATTAAAAATCATTTGTTGTTTATTGTCAGTTAAGGGAGTTCGATCCTTATCCAAATCATCTATGCAAAAAAAAAAGTTACCTAAATTTTTAAAAAACTTATAATTTGAAAGTTTCTTTACCTTTTATGTTATGTATATGCACGTATGACTTATTTAGTGAGTTTTATATCAGTCAGGAAAATCAGGCAATGATTTTTGTGTATCTATATTTTTGCACTGCATTATATATATTAATAATAATAATATTTTTTTTTTTAGAGATTAATTCCAGATTTAAGAGATTTGTGGGATCAAAAATTTGCTTATGAACTTAAAATTAATTTATCTGTATTATTTGATTAAGTATATAATGAATGGGTTGGAGTTACAACAGTTAAATTTAATTTAATTGATTCAAATTTAATATCAATTAATAATATTAAAATTAATCATATAATTTTTAATAATATTAATAATATGATATTAAAATTCAATTAAATATATGAAAATCAAGATAATTTTTCTGCTAAAACTAAAACAATCAAAAAATTAAATAAAGAATTGGAACTATTTATTCTAAATATTCTTCCCAATTCAATTTTTTATTATGATTTTATTATTTCTAATGTATCTTTAAATAATGAATTTTTTGAATAATTTAATCAGATTTATAAAAATTTTAATAAAAATTTTGATCAAATTACTAAAAAAAATATATTGGGAGTTCTTTGACAAATTTTATTCAAAGTATTAATAATATTTATATATCTATTGCAGATACTTTTTGGAAAAATCAAAAATACTTTTATCCAAATAAGTTAAGCAAAATTAAAATTAAAGTAACAAAAGAGCGAATGTTTTCTAAAGTCCAAAAAATTATAAAAATGAAAAATGTATCAAAACTTATATCAGAACAAATAGATACTTATCATTCAATAGCTGGAATTCCAGGTTTACAAGATATATCAGGTAAAATATTTTATATTAATTTAAAATTAATTTTAAAATAATAATTTAATAACAAATAATTATCAAATAGGATCATATCATCTTGTAGATCATAATAATGTAACTTTGATATGAATAATTAATCTTGATAACAATTAAAAAAATTTTTTGGATGTTGCAAATTTTTATATTTAATAATACTGATCTCATATTTCAACTAATAGATCTTATTAATCAAAAGAATTTTGCAAAAAATCAAGTGAATATTTTGGAACATATAAATTATATTCCACAATATTTTATAATTCTGGTGATTATAACCAGTAATATGTTGTTTCTTATAAGAAGCCAATTCATATGCCGATCTGGCAAATGTTAAGATTGTGATCTTCAGAAAAGGTGGTGTGGTGTGACGATCGTCCAGCTGGTATTACAATGATTGTTAGAAGAAAAAAGATGAAAAAGGTGACAAGACATTTGCTTTTAAACAAAATGGCTTGGTAATCGTTTCCCCATAGTACCTGGTGTCTCTTCCTGTTAAAATAGCTACCTCTACAAAGTTTTATTTGCCATAATAAGTACTACCCCCAGTTTCCCCTTTTACTTCTCCTTATAACATTTCCGGTTAAGAAATAGAACACAGCATGCTAATACAGAAGTAGGAAATCTTGAAGGGATCATCAATGTGGACACTAACATGTGGTGTAAATATGTATAACCATATCATTATATGTAGGAGTTGTACCCTGCTTGATATTTATACTCCTAGATTTGGTAGCTTAAGCCAACTGAGAGCCTATAAAGTGTCTACTGGGAGATTTAGGAGTCACACTCCACTTGGTTAGCAACCGAGCCCCCAGATTTGATAGTATATGCCAACTATAAGAACAACTCTCAGAGCATTTACTAGAAAGTACATATATATATGGATTCCATCTGCAGCTGCATGAGCCAAAGACATGATTCAAACAAGACGATCTATAGAAAAATTAGTATGTATTGGTTAAGTAATATTCTCGAAACCTAAGTATGGATCCACTCCAAGGTGTAAGTTGGTATTTGGATAAAAATAGGTGGTGCTAGGATTAGATTAGCTAAATAGTTAGTCAGATCTTTCATGTAATAATCAAATAATTCTAGTAATTAATAAAATGTCTCACATGTAATGCATTTTGTCTATAAAAAAAAAAAAATTCTGGTGATTATTTGGGAACTATAGGAAGCTGTTAAGATTATTTATTGTTTATATATTTATATTTTTTATTTTTTATTATATTTTAATAATTTACTAATTATATATTTTATTAGATGCATTAATCAAATGCTAGATGGAATAAGTTATTGGCCAATGAAGTTTTGGCTAATTTAATAAGAAATTATTATCAAATTGATATCAAAAATGTTTTTCTATACAATATCCAAAAAAGGTATTTTAATTTTATATATGTATATACAGTATATATATATACAGAGAACCCTCCCTAAATGCACACTTCTTGGGACCAACCATGAGCATACATTTAAAGAGAGTATGCATTTAAAGAGATGCAAAAAAAAAAATTATATTTTATTATATTTTATATATATCGATATATACAAATATTTATAATTAAAATACTCATTTATGTGAGTCTGTTGCATTAAACTAATTTTTTTTTTTTAACAAATTTTTCAAGACTATTTACTAATCTTTATTCTTTTTCTGCCCCTTCTTGTTAAAGTAAAAATGTACAAATATTTTCTAAATTTTTTAATGAAGTATTAGCACTAATAACGGTTGTTTCAACGCTATTATCCATTTTATCCAAATTTTCATTTTTTTCCTCTCTAAATATATTTGCAAGTTCTGTAATAACTTTATCATTGTCAGAAATCTCATAGATAATATTTTCATCAGGAATGGTTAAAAATTCATCGATTTTCATTGCTTGAGGAAGTCGGAGAGTGTTAATTATCTCAATAAGTTCATTAAGCTCATTATCGTTATCGTCATAATTGTCAACATCATCATTATTTTCATTAATGGAAAGGATCTTCGTATGGCGCCAGCAATTATAAATTGTTTTGATGGTAATTTCATTTCAACTTTCAATAATAAATTGAATCGCTTGAAATACACTCATCTTTAAGTCTTGTATAAACTGTCCTGCTTCGACTTGCTCCAATATTTATCTAATTGAATAGATAAAGAGTGAAGAAGGCGAACAGCAGAGAAGGCAAAAGGTAAAGAAAAAAGGAAAATGGCAAGAGAATGGTAAGGGAGGTCAACAAGAAAAACAAGATGAATGACAAGAAAAGCGAATGGTGAGGGAGAACAACAAAAAAGACAAGATGAACGGCAAGAAAAGCAAATGGTGAGGGAAGCCAACAAGGAAAGAAGAATAGAATGAACAAATAACGAAAAAAAAAAGAAGACAAGATGAACAAGGAAAGCGAATGATGAAAAAGAAAGGTGAATAGTGAAAAAGGAAGACGAATGGTAAGAGAATAATAAGGAGGTGAACAAAGAAAAAAGAAAACGAATGGCAAGGGAGGCAAACAAAGAAATAAAATGAACGAACAATGGGAGAAGCAAATGGCAAGAAAAAAAGGAAAATGGCAAAAGAATGGTAAGGGAGGTTAACAAGGAAAACAAGACGAATGACAAGAAAAGCGAATGGTGAGGGAGAACAATAAGGAAGACAAGACGAATGGCAAGAAAAGCAAATGGTGAGGGAAGCCAACAAGGAAAGAAGAATAGAATAAACGAATAACGGAAAAAGAAAAGAAGACAAGATGAACAAGGAAAGCGAATGGTGAAAAAGGAAGGCGAATAGTGAAAAAGGAAGGCGAATGGTAAGAGAATAATAAGGAGGCGAACAAAGAAAAAAGAAAACGAATGGCAAGGGAGGCAAACAAAAAAATAAAGCGAACGAACAACGGGAGAAGCAAATGGTAAGGAAAAAAGGAAAATGACAAAAGAATGGTAAGGGAGGTCAACAAGGAAAACAAGATGAATGACAAGAAAAGTGAATGGTGAGGGAGATCAACAAGGAAGACAAGATGAATGGCAAGAAAAGCGAATGGTGAGAGAAGCCAACAAGGAAAAAAGAATAGAACGAACGAATAACGGAAAAAGAAAAGAAGACAAGACGAATAAGGAAAGCGAATGGTGAAAAAGGAAGGTGAATAGTGAAAAAGGAAGGCGAATGGTAAGAGAATAATAAGGAGGCAAACAAAGAAAAAAGAAAACGAACGGCAAGGGAGGCAAACAAAAAAATAAAGCGAACGAACAACGGGAGAAGCAAATGGCAAGGAAAAAAGGAAAACGGCAAAAGAATGGTAAGGGAGGTCAACAAGAAAAACAAGACAAATGACAAGAAAAGCGAATAGTGAGGGAGATCAACAAGGAAGACAAGACGAACAGCAAGAAAAGCAAATGGTGAGGGAAGCCAACAAGGAAAGAAGAATAGAATGAACAAATAACGAAAAAAGAAAAGAAGACAAGACGAATAAGGAAAGCGAATGGTGAAAAAGGAAGGCGAATAGTGAAAAAGGAAGACGAATGGTAAGAGAATAATAAGAAGGCAAATAAAGAAAAAAGAAAACGAATGGCAAGGGAGGCAAACAAAGAAATAAAGTGAACAAACAACGGAAGAAGCAAATGGCAAGGAAAAAAGGAAAACGGCAAAAGAATGGTGAAGGAGGCCAACAAGAAAAAAAGAAGCAAGAAAACAAGACGAACGGCAAGAAAAGCAAATGGTGAGGGAGGGAGGTCAACAAGGAAAGGAGAATAGAACGAACAAATAATGAAAGAAGAAGCAAGGAAGACAAAACAAACGGCAAGGAAGGTGAATGGTAAGAGAATAATGAGGAAGCGAACAAAGAAAAAAGAAAACAAATGGCAAGGAAGGCAAATGATAAGAAAAAGAAGCGAACAAAGAAATAAGAAAGCGGACGAACAATGGGAGAAGCAAATGACAAGGAAGAAAGGAAAACGGCAAGAGAATGGTGAGGGAGGCCAACAAGAAAAGAAGCAAGGAAGACAAGACGAATGGCAAGGAAAGCGAATGGTAATAGAATAGTGAGGCGAATAAAGAAAAAAGA